TCACAAAAGCGCAAATCCATAGAATAGAACTCTTTATGACCCTGAAGAACGAAGGTTAGAAAGTGTACAATGGAGCACTTTATGTTCAATAGAAAATTGTACTTGGAGGTTTCAAGGGTTAACGGAAATTATGTATAGAACCTTTCTCTCTTAATGTGTTAATATACTGAAAAACCTCTGCATGAACAATGCCATKAAAAGATTTCTGAAATCCATGGTAAAGTCAATTATGTTACAACTATGACACTGAGAAAGAAAAACATAGCGAAGGAGAAGGCAAAGTCAATCAACAACGAAATGACACATGGGATGAATAAAGAGTAGACGATCAAGTTTGTCGACAAGAAACTGTTGAGCCAAGGACGTATTCACAGATGGACCACACTGACATTGCTATCTGTTTTTTCAACGCTTTATCCAGCTTAATATCAATTATTACCAACGCAATGGTCTTCGTCGCCATTCTCAAAACACCATCTCTTCACACACCGACCAACGTTCTTCTCTGCAGTCTTGCTGCTTCAGATTTTTTGGTCGGTTTCGTCGTACAACCTACATTCATAGCTGAAATACTGTCTGACTATCATAGACCAGTTAAAAAGCTCTTCAAATATTGYTTTGGTGTSTTTGTTGCTGTTTCTTTAACGACCGTCATGATGATCACAGTTGACCGCTTCGTTGCTTTACACTGGCATATGAGGTATCAAAGCAGAGTAACTGTCAAWCGCGTTAYTATTGCGTTGATTATGGTTTGGCTTGTGTGYATTTCATTCACCTTGGCATATTATGAAGCTGGYACACGCATTAGATTTCAAATGTCAATAGCATGTCTAACGTGTATCTTTGCAACAGTWTTATTTTGTCAYTACAAGACGTTCATGATCGTTCGACGTCATCGTCGTCAGATTGTGGCGCAGCGACAGGTGTTTCCTCGCCCAATGGCAAAACAAGGTCGGTCCATTAAAACAGTGTGGTACATCCAAGGTCTGTTTATAATCTGCGTTGTGCCATTCTTTTGGTTCAAGATTTCATCAATAGTCSTTGGCAAAGTTATACTTTCCACGAAGAATTATTGTCTCACGTTTTTATTCTTTAATTCAACTTTGAATCCTTTTTTGTATGGCTATAGGTCCAAAGACATCAGAAACGTGATTCTTAAAATACTAAAACAGTTTACCAAATCTGSGCATAAAATTACTTTTCCTCGTCCAGAAACGCATATCAGACACTTGCAGATGAGAATTAGAGCTTCGACAGTGCAAAGCGTGACGAAACGAATGAGTGATTACAAGATTTCGTCGATCCATCTATAAATGCTATCCATCTATTCACTTCTATTCTCTTGTTCATTCCGTGTCGTGCATGTTCCAGGTCATATTAGACCTTTCTTTTCTGATCATTAAAAGTTGAAAAAGACGCACAAATCCGGGGTACTTATGCTTTATSAACTTCCTGTCGTTCCATCCCATTGGTCGGAATCGTTTGTCAAGGACATTTTCCTTTTTTGGAAATGTCCTGTCCATGAAAAAAGTTAAGAGACGATAATTAAGACTGATGACTATAAAAGTGAATGAGTTGAGGAAATCAAAACAGAGAAACTGGCAAGCATTTACCAGAATTGCAAGCCGGTAAATCGACTTCAGAAACATCTAGAGGACAAGAAAACAGAAACTTAAAATCTTCATGAATAAATGAAAACTGAAGGCTTGCTCAGTAACAGATGGAAGGCACAGACATTGCTATCTGTTTTGTCAACGCTTTATCCAGCATAATATCAATTATTACCAACGCAATGGTCTTCGTCGCCATTCTCAAAACACCATCTCTTCACACACCGACCAACGTTCTTCTCTGCAGTCTTGCTGCTTCAGACTTTGCGGTTGGTTTCATCGTACAACCGACATTCATAGCCGTAATGCTGTATGAATATCAGGCCCCAGTTCATGAATTCTTCAAATACTGCTTTCTATTTTTTGTCCTCGTTTCTTTGTCGACTGTCATGTTGATCACATTGGACCGTTTCATTGCCTTGCATTGGCATCTAAGGTACCAAAGCAAAGTGACTGTCAAACGTGCTGCCGTYGCATTGACCATTGTTTGGCTCTTGTGTTTTCCGTCGACATTTATATACTATGAAGCTGGTGGGAGAGACATGAGATTTCGCATGGTCATAACGTGCGTCACGGGCATTTTAGCCACAATTTTATTTTGCCATTACAAGACTTTCAAGATAATTCGACACCACCGTCGTCAGATTGTGGCACAGCGCCTGGCGTTTAMTTTTCCAACGGCAAGGCAAGGTAGATCCATCACTACAGTTTGGTATCTCCAAGGCTTATTCATCATCTGCAATGTCCCCTTTGTTTGGTCTAAGATCGCTTCTCTGTACATTTTCCGTGGAAAACCATTCTTGCGCCTAATGAGAAACACTTGCCTTACGTTTTTATTCTTTAATTCAACTTTGAATCCGTTTCTGTACGGCTATAGGTCCAAAGACATTCGAAAGGTGATTCTTGATGYAACAAAATGGTGTAGTAGAACAAATGCGATAACTTCTTTTTCATTACAAAAAGTATCAAACTCAAAGCAAGGCAAGTAACCGACTCAGCAATGAAATCTGCGAGGAATCGAATGGACCAGTKTCAATGTCAAAATGTCAAATAATCGATATTTAGCATTTCCATTTGTCTAGCTGTTCATCTGCGAAATTCAAAGTTTTTGGTTTGGCGCGACAATAGCACAATGGATGAGCAGGGCCTAAAAAATTTCCGTGCCAGTATTGACGCATATTGATTTTCTATGCCATGTTAAAAACACAATAATATGAATTATTCTATCGTACAAAAGCAATCAACTTGAAACCAAAGAGCTCATCAGCAAACAGGAACTCTTTAAATTTCTGAATGATGAAGGTCAAAAAGTAGTTGATGTAACAGTTTAATTGAAAATGGTACTTGTGAGATGTCAAGGACTACGGAAACTGTTTGTAACTGGAATATCAAATCATTTCATTTTTGTGATGTTAGGATACTGAGCAGCGAAGATTTGTTTGCTTCAATGGAAGACTAGTATTTAAGATTGTTAACATTGCCCAAGTTATATACCGGAATTAATATAATCTGTAAGCAAAGGACAAAACCAAAACGCAAGGAAGTGAGTTCAACGAACGAATTGCGTAAGTCCAGCAAATGACATCCACATACTATTCAAGAAAATAGGCAACAAAAGAAGTCAGGAATTGGAAAAAATACGAATATTAGTTGAAGAAAAGTAGGAGCAAGACGACAGAGGAAAATAAATAGCGTACAGAAGAAGAAAAATGCGCACAGAAGATAAAAAAAASTCTGACAACGACAACAAGAGAGAAGACGAAGTCAGTCGACGAAGAAGTCTTAGCAGCTGTTGTTTCACTAAACCATGACAACAAAAACTAAGAATGAAACTGGCGAACACAGCTTGCCAGAATTGTAAGCTGGTAAAACCCTTCTGAAAATATCTAGAGGAGAAGAACATATAGAAACTTGAAAGCTTCGTGAAAAAAAGAAAGAAAGACTTGAGCAGAAACAGATGGAAGGCACTGACATTGCTATCTGTTTTGTCAACGCTTTGTCCAGCATAATATCAATTATTACCAACGCAATGGTCTTCGTAGCCATTCTCAAAACACCATCTCTTCACACACCAACCAACATTCTTCTTTGCAGCCTTGCTGTTTCAGACTTTGCGGTTGGTTTCATCGTACAACCTTCATTTATAGCTGCAATGCTTTCAGATTACTACAAACCAAWTCAAATTTTTTTTAAATATTCCTATATTTTCTTTGTTGCTGTTTCTCTGTTGACGGTCGTGTTGATCACCTTTGATCGTTTCCTCGCTTTGTATTGGCACTTGAAGTACCACATTAAAGTAAATGTCAAACGATCTACAATTGCGCTGATCATGGTGTGGCTAGTATCGATTGCCTTCACAGTGGTGTATCGTGAAGTAGGCGGGAAAGGTCATAGATTTCGATTTTCACTTACATTTCTTGTGGCCATTTTAGCATCTATTGTTTTTTGTCATTACAAGACTTTTAAGATAATTCGACGGCACCGTCGTCAGATAGTCGCTCAGCGTCAGGCCTTTCCTCTCCCAATGACGAAGCAAGGTAGATCTATTAAAACAGTGTGGTACATCCAAGGTCTGTTCATAATCTGTATTGCCCCTTTCGTTTGGTCCAAGATTGCATCAGTGTATTTATATCGGGGGGAATCATTTCTACGCTCGATGAAGAACGCCTGCATGACATTTTTGTTTTTGAATTCAACTTTAAATCCTTTTTTGTATGGATACCGGTCCAAGGAAATCAGGAGGGTTATCCTTAAAATGGTAAAACCTTTAAGAACGCGTAAGATAACTTTTCAGCCGACAAGAACGCACATGAATACTGACCTACGAATAAGAATTGAAGGTTTATACATGAAATCTGCGAGGAGCTAAGGAAATGACTACTTGCGAGGTTTCATCTTTATAAACTAATCATTCCTAATATCTTATCTTACGTTTAATGTTTTTGAGTGCATTTCATCTTAGTTTGGAAAGTCCTTCTTGTAAAAAACAAACTTTATGGTCCAAAACATTCAACATGGCTGCTATTGAAAAAGCATCTTCCTTATTGGTCGTCGTGGGGTCATGGCGTAAATAAGTGCGGTTCTTCAAATTAAAGTACAATGCAAGATGGCAAGATGGTARCGAGGTTAGCATCAAGGATTCTAGAAGAAGTAACTTCATTCAAACATATCAAACGGAAACAATAACAACAACAAATTTAGCTAGAACTTAATATATCTACCATGAAATAAATCAAAAAATTAGAATAATTATATCACCATCTGGATCAGTTTTTATWTGATTGAATGTGAATTCTTTCAACCATTCTCTTAACCGTTTGAACATGAGCTCGTCAATGATGGAGGGCCCACAGGGATCAGGATTGGAACCAACTAGTGTCATGGGATTCTAAACACGAAACAGATTATACTGATTTTAGACTAGAAAYCGAACAAGAAGTTATGGATATATTATATTTAACAAATAGATCTCATTTTTCCGTGCGTGTGTACTCTAATAGATACACAGATGACGTCAAAATGTAGTGAGAACAAAAAAGTACGCACGAGACGCAGTCGAGTGSGTGACTGTTGTTCTCACTACATTTTGACGTCATCTGTGTATCTATTAGAGTACACACGCACGGAAAAATGAGATCTATCTGTTTTATACAACAAACAATTAGTTTTGACGTAATCCGTGTATCTATACTTTGATAACACACGAAAGCCAACCAATCAAAACGTCTGATTTTACTGAAAAGTTGTATAAATTATAATAACATATGTATCGGTCTGTTAATCACGTGTATTTCACTGTTTATATATTTGTAACATATGCAATTACGCAATTCAGCTTCCAAGTTTATCTTAGCAGCTACAATGTAAATAGTTCTATTCTATTTTAAGTTAACCTTGTATGGCTTAGGGGTCGCTTTCCTCCCCCCTCTTTGAAGGAAAAAGCTATACCAAAAATTCTTTCGCTATTTCGTTCTTTCGCTATTTCAGGGGCGGCGGAACCGGGGGACTGGGGGGTTGCAGCCCCCCCCCCACCCAGTATTTATCAAAAATGTAATTTTGTTTCATGATAAAAGCTCGTTGTATTTTCCTACAATGTAATTCATTAACAGTTTTATTTACTGTAAAATGAAAGCTTGATGAATAAAAAAGGATTACTTGACCACAATATTCATTAATCTTCTTAGCGCCCCCAGGKCCAAAAACGTTCCGCCGCCCCTGTATTTCGTTCTTTCGTACCTTCACGTACACTGCAAGATACCTTCCGACCAAGATGGCGGACGGTGTTGAATTCTCGGTGCATAGAGATAATTTAGAAGTAATATAATTTCAGCATTGTGGTCACACATATATACAATTGTTTCTTGTTGTTCTAATTTCTTGGCTTATTACACACTTTCAGTATCTCCATATTTTGAGATTTTTTTCTAATAAAATTGCGTTAACTATAAGAAAATTATTTCAGCAAGAGCGTTCATTCAACAATTTCAGTTCTAAATATAGATACTTCGTTGACGYGAATAACAAAAATATTACTAAATATTCTTAGATCAAGTTCTTAGCAATGAATATGAGTCTTGTCAACATTGAATAAACCACTTTCTTGGCAGTCTTCATGTGCAAACAGTAGACATAAGGATTAAGCAAAGAATTCATAAAAATAACCATATAGGACGCCATGCTGAGCGAATTTGGAGTATGCATTGTATAAACTGTTATTATATGAGTCACCAAAAAAGGCAGAAGACAAATAAAACACAATCCCTGRATATACCACGTCATTTTKATCGAGGTCCCTTGTCGTACAGTTGGGACGGGAAATGTTTGCTGCCTTGCAGTAATTTGCCTGCGATGGTGCTGAATGGTGGYGTAAATCTTATAATGGCAGGTTAACACGCTTAAAAAGAACGCTCCAATTAAAATGCAGCTTAAGATCAGCCGCGGAGTCCTGGGGATTGCTAAGTAAATTATGGTATACGGTACAGCAGAAATTGCAATCGCTAGCAACACGATGCCTATGCTTGTGTTAGTGACCTTCGTTGGGTATCTCAGGTGCCAATGCAATGCAAGGTACCTGTCCAGCGAGATAACGACCAAAATTGACATCGACACGCAGCCGCAAAAGATGAAAGAATACTCAAAGTAAGGCTTTGCTGTAACTTGGTAGGATGGAATAAGATGGAATATAAATAAAGGTTGAACAAAGAAGGCAACTGCGAAGTCTGTCGCGGCAAGACCACAAATGAGAACGTTCGATGGAGACCGCAGCGTTGGCGTCSCGACAATAGCTACGAAAACAAAYGCGTTACTGAACGCTGATATAAGGCTTAAGACACCATTGARCACACATAATAAAATGATGGAAGGATCCATGTCAAACTTGCATTAATGAAAGATTGAATCCCAAGAACAATAATGCTGTTAATAAGCTCTTTTTGTAGTTAYGAAGACATSACCTTGAGTAAGCTGACACAAATAAAGCAAGCCGTTTATATGAAGCACTTTTGTAATTCCACTTCTTTTCACCTGGCAACTTTCCTGAAATTGGGGTCATTACTTGCGAACCAATCAAAATTGATAACTGAAGACTTCAGCCAATCAAATAGTTATCTTTCGACACTTTTGGACAACGTGAATGACTTATAACCATTGACCCAAGATAATAATATATCAATATATTATACGGTGAAGATAACGCCGGATAAACTTGAAAAGCCAAATTGTTTTGTTAAGTATGGTCTTAAAAATTATGGCCATGAAAGAAAAAAACATTGAGCTGTTCACAATTAAACAGGAATAAAGCAGGAATTGCTTCACTTTAAAAGGATCAAAGGGAATCAGAAATGCCTGAAGGCCCCYTGAGGGAGTAGCAGAGGAAACCTGCATTTCAAAGAGGGTTGGTGTGGTGGTGTTTGGCTACGTGAATCAGAAGACATTAATGACACAATAAGATACTATGTGAATCAAGAAATCTTAAGTTGATCTTCCCGTAACAAAAGAAGCATATTCACCTGACGTCAATTAAGATTCGGCTATTGTTATACATAAAAAGACTATTATTGATTACTGTTTGCTCCTCTCAAGAGCTTCTCATTCATTTTTCGACTTCCTTTTTCGATATTAGTGATTGATCGCTCTTCAGGTTGAAAGGAGGGTCAATAGCCGGGATATTTTCAATTTCTGCCTGGCGGCCCACATGAATTCTAGTTTTTTTGCAAAACAGGACGTTTTCTAAGACATGACGCACGCAAATCACTGAAATCTTATCTCGACTACATTAAATACGAAAAAAGGCAGATATAATACAATTGCACCTGCATGAAATAAGACAATTTCAAGATTTTTGAAGGGTGCATAATATCTAAAGGATTAGTACGTTGATTTTATCTCATTGTCGCCTAAAAACGAGACTCATTAGTAACCGAACTTTTCACTCTGGAAGGTTCGGGACTGTGGAAGAATAAATCTTGTATTTTTTTACTTCGACGCCACAATAACTGAGGCACTTCGAGAGTAAATTTTATTGCAGTTTATAAACCAGAATCGTAACAAATCGCTTCTCTTCAGCAACGCGCAATGCATTGCGAAGGAAAGACGCGGTTTTTTTTTTCTTTCCTTCCCATCAACCTCTTCAAGCGTATCGAAAAATAAASCGTAATGACTGGGTACGAGCAGACTATCAAAGCTTGCTTGTTAATGGCTTCACGTCCATAATTATTAGTTTAGATTGACTTTCTTTAATTTGTGACGAAAGGCCTTATGGGGCCTCTCGTCACTATAGTGTTGAGTGACCGAACCGTAACCATCCACTTGTAGCAGGCGTTCCTTGCGAGTCCTTGATATTTTTAAGTTGAAAAGAGAAAATCTCCAGAAAACAAACGAAGTAACAACAGCAAAGAAAAGAAGAAAAGAAGAAAAGAAAGAAGAAAAGAAAATAAGAAACAATCGAAAAAGAAACAATAAACAAGCGAAAAAAAGAGATATTCCAGAAGCAGGGCTCGAACTCAGAACTTTCACTTCAAGAGAAGATGTACCCCCCCTGAATACATAAGAAATAATGAAAACAAAAAAACTAAAAAGATGGGACGATTCCCCCGAGACATTCTATGAAGCTGAGGCGTCGAATCGGCTTACGTTACGGTTAGAGATTTCGGCTCTTCCACGCTATCCCGAGTGAACATAAAACTTAGTCTTAACCAAAAGGCCAGGGAGTGAGGGGGTAGCCGCCCACTAGAGCATACCTTTAGCTACCCTCTTAGACCATCGTACTATGAAGACACTTATAGATATATAATATCTAATTGGGGTAGTCTATTCGGTGAAGTTCTATGCTAATATATGACGTCACCAAAATCCTTAGGGATCAGCGAGCCAATCAGAGCTCAGCTCGGGAATTAGCAAGCGATACAGGCTTCGCATAATTATTCTTCAGTTGATTTATTATTTGATGGGGGGTGGGGATCGGTGCTGAGTGCTGGTTTGCGGCCGAATACAAACAAGAGGCCATTTCATTGCGCATGCACGATACGCTTGAGGTACCTTGGTCACAGCACTGTTTTGCAGCTCGTTCTCTGTCGAGATGTTTACATTAATTTACGTTACAGGAAAATACGCTTTTTCATTCTTCAACAACTAATTGATTAGGTTCAAACGTCAAGTCTAGTATCGAATATGTGTTGAAAATGCTATTCAAGTTAAATTTCTGGAATATATCTGCTTAAAATATGATTAATAATCATACAAGGTGACTGACATGGAGAAGATAAAATGGCGACTGAAATGTGGTAAAAACCATACTTTGTCGTTGGTTTATMTTAGGAAACAAGACGCTCTGGTGCCTGTTCTTATAGCTATGTAAATTGGATGCTATTTGTACTTTATGACAACATTTTGTTTTGAAATCGTTTGCAATTAGAGCGACAAGGTTTACACAGCGTTTATGGGATAATTGTTAAATTCGCGCTTTTTGACATTTTTCATCTTGAAATATTATTAAATCTAGTAAAAATACCAATGCTTAACAAGCAGAAATGATTATAATCGTATGTACTATTGATGTTTTATGGATGATCTTTAACTGAATCAAAAATTGGTGAAGATGCTTTTTTGGCCTTTAAAGATTGTAAACATTATGTCTGTTCTGTACATGGTCAATATGAATTGATCAAAACTCTTGAACTTTGAATATTCGAGCATGAAATCAGATGCATTTACATGTTGTACCCATTACAAAAGGCCATTGACGATATACCAGCGATCGACAATTATTTTGCTATTTATGAAAAATCAAATACATGACTAATATGCTAATGGTTACTATTCGGATAAACACCACTGCACAAATCTCTTGAAATTCTTAATGTAAAGTGGTTTACAAACCAGGCAGATATTTGCTGGAATTCAACGGAACACAATTAAAGACCTCTARAACGTTCAATGCACATTTTCGTTCTTGATGATATAAACGTTTGCACATTATTGRATATAAATATGTTTATAACTGTAGGCAGGGAAACAGCTCGGGCGCCCCGCGTCAGACCCCCACGGGAATGATCAACCATCACAATAGGTTCCTTGGCTCCTGGGAATCGTCGCCTGTTGTGTATAATTCATAGGCAACATAATGGTTGATCGTCACGTGATGTTTCCAGTTCCTTGCAGCGTATACAGATAATTCAGAAAAAGTACTGAAAATAGTGTATTCGAAGTTTACTAAATCTCTTAATGGCCTGAGTCACACGCAGTCCTCGACTGTCTATTCTTGTACGTATATTGTCTATCACCATTGTCTGTTTACCTATTTAATTATTTCTATGTACTTACTTATCAACGCAATCCTTTAACTATATGRCGTCAAGATGATTTGGCCAAGTGCATCATGGTATTGATTAAAGATGGCGGATGTTTAGTACAAACTGCGAATACAAACGATTTCTTTTATCTGTGATTGGCTATTTAGTAAGAGCGTCAATTAGATGGTTGCATATCAGAGTGTTATCAAAGACCAGTAATAGCAATACGCAATGTATGTTGTTTGCAAAACAGCCCGATTTAGTTAGGTTACTTTTGTCACTCCCATAATGCATTGCACCGGAAAACGAATGACGTCATAAGGAACGAGGACCACTCTATCTCGAGTTCAATTGTTAAATAGTATTACCATTTATCTATTGGTGATCTATATACTATATTTTATTTATTTTCAATTGTTTATTGAAAACATGATTTTGTTTACAGATTACACATTCACCACAAAATGTCAAATCGKTTTTGTATAAAAGTTGAGAATAGTGCTCACAAGAGCACACATTCTTCATATTTCTTTGCTAGTTTGATGCTTTTGCCCATTGAAATACCCTTAAACACGCTTTATAGCGCGTCACAAGATTGTTTGTGGAGTATTTCACGTGTCCGTGTTCAAGTTCAGTATATGTGTGGATTTCAGTTGGTCATAAGTCAGTTGTTCTGTATAATGATTCGGAATTCGGAATATTACTGGACCACAATATTCCAGATTCCATATTTTCAAATAAAAACTTACATTGTTGTACCAACAACAACAACAACAACAACAACAACAACAACAACAACAACAGCAACAGCAACAACAACAGCAACAACAGCAACAACAACAACAGCAACAACAACAACAAGAACAGCAACAACAACAACAACAACAACAACAACAGCAACAACAACAACAACAACAACAACAGCAGCAGCAGCAACAACGACAACAGCAGCAACAACAACAACAGCAACAACAACAACAGCAGCAGCAACAACAACAACGACAACAGCAGCAACAACAACAACAACAACAAGAACAGCAACAACAACAACAACAACAGCAACAACATTAACAACAACAACAACAACAACAACAACAACAACAACAACATGTAATTTAAAAAAACCTAATCCTTGACTGATTTAAGCTCTTTGTCGTTAAGATAATTACTTCTTAGATGGGCAGAGTCTGGCTCCGGTGCTGGAAGCCAGTTATTGGCTATATATTTGTGTCCTTTTATGACGTCACATCCGCCATGGAGTGACCTCTCCTCCCTAGGTCCCATCCAGCCTGTTTTGTCGTCCCTCAGGTAGTTATACCACATGATGGCCTTGCCTTTCTTTGGAGGAATMACKAGTTTGGCCGAGTGGCAGTATTTTCCGAGGTTGTATAGATCGCCATCTTTACGATCTCGGAATGCCTGTATAACAACAAAAATAGGATGTAAAATCACCACCATGTGGAACTTTTCATGGTTGTAATAAAAATCATGATGCAACAGAGAAAAATAAACATTTCTTACTGTTTCGTTGAAGTTTTCGACATCAGCGACAGGGAAGGCTGTCTCACCTCCCTCCTCCACGTYATTAAGGTAGTATAAGACGGTAATATATCTAAAAACAAACAAACCAAATGTCATTAAATCAATCAAAAAGCGCGATACTGAMCGYAAACAGACTCAACAGACCTGCACAGTCTACACTTTGGGACGTTTTCCAGGTMAAAATGACAACACGAGTCATTAGGGAAGTCAGACTTTCTCGTTCCATCGTAGTGAGCATTGTAATGACCTCTCTCATCGTACCCTACAACCTAATTAAAACAATTACTCCATGATAGGTTATCATGACTTTTAGGACATACTGTTAAAAGTTTCCCGTAGGAATTATAGCAGTTGTGAATTGAGGGAGAACACGATCAATGTCTTACCTGTAAGGGTTCTCCACCATAGACGATGTACTTTGGAAGTCTTGTTAGCTTCCATATTCTAAATAGATATAAATAACAATGATTAACTAATTCTTTTTGTACGTGTATTTTATCGAAATCGTCATACCTTTTTCGTAGTCTTTTCATGGTTTTATCAGCTTTGATTCCTTGATGCAACCACACTTGTTTGCTAAACCGGTGTCGATGGTGTGGGTGGTAGTCTTTTAGATCGTTAAGGTACATATCGATGGCGTTTGTTCGAAAGGTTTGCCATTCAACATAATCGATTTTATCTGAAAATAACGGATGAATAAATTAAAKAGTGAATGGATATGGATGGAAGGAGGAATGAATTATGGACAAATGAATGTGTCAAGCGTGCAGTGGATTAATGGATGAATTCATTGGTGGTTGATTGATTGAATGGCAGAACAAACAATGAAGAAATGGATGACTGAAACCATAAATGAATGGATGGTTCATGGAATCGATTTACAGATGAATTACTGCATCGTTCAATTGAAATTTAAACGAAGAAATRAAAGAAGAAAAAAGTTAGAAAGAAAGTAGGAATAGAATAATGGATGAGAGTAAWGAAAGAAAAATGTTCACCTACCGTCCGCCATCTCTGTTAAGTTAAGTTTCTCAACCCTTTAATGAACAACCAGAAGAATAGTAAAATCGGTTTAAAAAATGAAAATTGCCAGTAAAACAATGCAAGCATACTTACATTTCATCGATATCTTTATCTTGCAATACCAAATATTTAACTCTTTCAGCAAATATCTTAATCTTGTTATTGGTAGAAAATATTGACAACTATTAGTCACAGATCTTGATTGACAGGCAAACAAACAGTTGTCAATCACCGAAAACTATTTCTATGATATAATTATGTAAAGAATACCTCATCTCTTGTTATCTCAAAATCTCTGTCGATATCCCAGTTAAGAAAATGTCCCGTGGGACTATTTGAATGACCTGGAAAGAGATAATAGGAGATATGAATCCACAGAAACAACTATCGTTCAGCACCAAATTATTCATCAAAAACGATCAATCAATCAATCAATCAGTCAGTCAATAGCTTCATCAATCAATCAATCAATCAATCACTCAGCCAATCAGTCAATAGCTTCATCAATCACCCAATCAATCAACCAACCAATCAGACAATAGCTTCATCAATCAACCAACCAATCAGACAATAGCTTCATCAATCAATCAATCAATCAATCAATCAATCAATCAGTTCATCAATCAATCAATCAAACCTTCAGTTGATCGGATCAACTTCATGTGATCTGTGCTGATTGAGTCCCAATGCAAATCGCTTTCATGCATGCCAGCTTTCTTTGCAATGCCAACGATGTGATCAGCTTCATCAGAGGACAGAAAATCTGGGATTTCTGAAAAGAAGAACACAAATAGTTCAATAACACGAAAGATAGAATATGGACCCACAAAGTAGCTCAATAGACATGTTAATAACAACATTTATCTTTGAAATCTTTCATAGTTTTGTTTTGTTACTTCTGCTGTTGTTATTAAATTTTTCAAGCAATACATGCAAAGGCTCAAAAACACACCGTAGATCCTTCACAAAATACTGTATCTTTCTAGTGAGAAAATACAATTGTAACACAAACTTACCAAAAATAGGAGGATAAATCGCCTTTGTGATCATTTTATATGTTTTCTTCCCTTCGAGTTTGAGCTCTCGAACGTGTCCGATCTGAAAAGACATGTGTACAGTCACGTCTACTGGCTTCAAAGTCGAAAACTCRTCGAACTCATCCTTAAAAAGATTAAATGTCTTAAGAGATAAATTACTAACCTTAACAGGATCCCATCGATATAACTTCTCTTTTCCATCGTCAATACAGGGACCCTCATCTGCCGTTCTATGGCAATGGCTCCCCGTACAAGATTCCTTTTCGTTCGCCTCTTTGCTGTAYTTGTTAGCTAAACTAACATGGCTTCCAAGAAAAAGAACCAACAACCATAGAAGTGGCATACTCTTTTTCTTCAAAGATCAAATCACAGACCTTGGGACGAACGGTTCCCCACGTGCGTTGAACGACGATTTAAATTTCACGTTAATAAATAATGTCTATTGAAAGAGCGATTCTTTAAGCCTTTGTTGCCAAGCAATGAGGTCTTTGATGATTCGGTGACCAGCAAGTGGCCTGTGGTGTATTCACAAAAAATCCAAAGGCTAATCTATGCAAAACYGGTTATTTTTGGTACAGTAGTGAAGTGGACTTTGAAAGGAAAAAATAATATGTAAAACGTTTTTCCTTGTGAATTTTTTTGTGCCTGAAGAATAGTTGTCCTCTGATAAAATATAAAAAACTGATTATGCAATCTGTCACAGTCTACAGGTTTTCTCTACACCATTTTAAAAGTGACCAATCTGCTTTTGTAAAAAAGACTACAGTGTCGTTACCGATTCTGAGCGCATACTCAAGCTTACAGTCTTCTGAAATAAAGGGCAAAGAAACGTAATAGAAAGGTAGTATGTCACGTGTGGGGTGCAATAACGATTATTAAAAATATTACACGAAATAAAGGAAACGGAAGGGTGGAAAATAACAAATCATGACATCTTTATTGTGAAAAGAAATCATGTGGAATCGTGTGTTTTATGGACAGCTCTTGTCTTATTTTTCTTGTTTTTTTTATTAACATTATTCATGTTTTCTTTTTTTCAAATTCATGTGTTAAACGCGAGCCGCAGGCGAGTCAAAATAGAATTGAAACAAATATATATATCATTATACTAATTACATTAAACAAAYCACATTCAGATATTTTTCTTAGTGAATTCTTTATTTATATTTTTTTCATACTTTTTTATTTCTTTACAAATTTCATAGACTTATAAGGATTCTTGTGTATTTTTGGTTTATGAAATTATAGTTTTAAAAACTATTCAAAATATTTAACATATAAAGTGTCTTTGATTATCCACATTTKATATTCTAGATATGTTTTATTCATAATAAAAATAAAGTATCTGTCTTAGTTCGTGAAAAAAAAATTTCATGGTTTATCGATGAAACAAAGCTCGCCGGAGTGTTGTAAAACACGGAAAAAAGACAATTTTGAAGTGCTGTTTTAATTCTTTTCCAATTGTGCTGGGTTTTATTGTGACAACCGGATCAACACAACGCCGATGAAAAACATCGTTACGTGCTTTAATTCATCGATATATACACCACTTCAATCTTTCTTAATTTTGCTTATTCTTTCGATATTGAAATTGTATGCCCTCGATCCTCACGTAAAAAGAATGTTTTAAAATTTTCTTAAAATGTGCTTAGTTGTCTGTTTATATTTATCTAATTGTTAGTTCATCCATATTACTKTAGTATATTTCTTTATTTGTTTCTATTTCTGTTTTTTTTTATTTTTTGTTTATTTGTTTATTAAGGTAAAATGCTCCTTTTATTCTTTATATGTTTACTTTAACATTGAAACAGCGTATCCTCAAGGCTAAAACTGCCCAGCTAGATTAGAAATTCATTCATAAAAACCGTGAAATATAGACTAACCCACCCTTAGCGGTCATCTAACTTCTTTAAGCCTATTTGACTACAACACCTCGGCCATCAGACTTTGTTACACGCTTATGCGTGTCCGGACTCGTTGATTCCATAGTTTTCTTTTGTCTGATTTTCTAATAATGTTTCACGGTTTTAAGTCCCTAGTCAACCCCCACATGACAATGACATGAATCTACGANAGTGACCATTATAATGACCGTTCTTCTCGTAACGAACAACCTTTATTATAAATTTAAGAGGACAAAAGAGTCAAACTAAAACCCTGGACAGAGAGCCAGCCTGTTGAGCGCAATGCTTACCTGGACTAGTTCTCCCCCTCGTACAATTAACGGAGAGAGCTTCGTTAGTTTTATGATCCTATTTGAAGGAGAGAAAAACCAAATTTTAGCATTAATGAATTCATGGCTTCAACGATTTCCTCTGATTGGTTGATTAAATAGGTTAGTAAGCTGGTACACCTTGGCAGGCTGCTGTGTTAGGAGCTTTGTTGATAGTGTTGGATAAGGTGGTTTTTAAAATGGTGGGAACTAGCGGTAAACTAGTGTGAGCTGCGTCGGTGTTTCTATAAGTTAGCTGATTGATAGTTTATAGGCTGCTAATTGACAGGCTGGTAGGATGATAAGCTGGTTGGTTGATWGTCTTTATTGGTATGAGTTAGTAGTTTGATAAGTAGGTTCGCTGATCGACTGATACAGAGGTTGGTAGGCTGAATAATGAATACATAAGTCTATTCATCCATTTTTGAATGACGTACCTTTCAGTTAATCTCACTACAACAGGATCTTTAGTGTTTCCATGTTCGATCCACGTCTGACTGCTGTATCTRTCTTTATGCTTCGGGTGGTTTTCTTTGATGTAGTTCATGTAYGAGTCGACTGATGCTGTTGGAAATGTTTCGAACTCTTTGGCTGTGACTTTGCCTACAAGAAACAGTACTACACTGTTACTAAAAACATAATTTTATGTTTCCACTCGGTAGCTAAGTAAAATTGTCCATGGTGCTGCCTATGCTTGCACCCTGCTTCCTTCATATCCAGTGATTAAAAGACAAAGGCAGTTCTGGAGTAACTGATGTCAACGAAAGTAATCAGTGTGCATGGTAAAATAACAAATATTTTGCGTTCTATGACCGTCTTCATCATCAACACCATCATTCAACAATTCTACCATCATCATGATCACCATCATACCATCATAAGCTGTAATTTTTAATGTCATTGTCAACACTACTACTATTATCGCCTCTTTATCATCCTCATATCGCAATGCCGTAAGGAAATGTCATTTGAATAGAATATAGAAGTAATTCCACATACCATCACTAAATTGCTCGAGATCTAGTCTCTTTATCCTGAAGATCAATCAAATTGCAAACATCAGAGAAACGGTCAGGCAGCGTACTAAGTACCAAAAAGATGCGCCATAAAAATAAAGCTGAACTGGCGTTAGGAGTACTTACATATCTTCTACTTCATCTTCAGACATGTACAGGTACTTGTAGGTCAAAGCAAAATGCATGATCTAAAAAATATGGAATTTTAATATCAAGAGTTTGTACGGAAAGTTGAGAGCTGTTAGAATGATGAGCTTATTATTTGCAAACCTCATCTTTTGTGATCTCGTCATCCATGTTTTTGTCCCAGCTTAGAAGATAACTGGCAACACCTTCGGCATGACCTGAGGAAGAGAAAAAATATYCAAATAYTGCATTCATTTACGAAGTATAATACATTTTGGTCTTGAATCTCTTTTACCTGTGACATTTTTCTTGTGTTTCATTAAAGCTTCATCGAAGTGCGTCTCACTGATGAAGAATTTGTTCTTGATGGCCAACTTCTTGAGATGTTCACACTCTTTTGAGCTCAAAAAGTTACGAATTTCTGTGTACATTAGAAAACAATGTATTTAAAATACCATCTCTCAGATTGACGCCAAAAAGTGCATCAAAAAACCCTTAGGGACTACATGGAGTCTTACCAAAAATAGGTGGCTTTGAAGCCATTGTTGTCATTGTGTACTCCTTTCCAGGYTCCAGCTCCAGCGTTCGCTTGTAACCTTTCTGTATACGTTGGAAAGCATTTTGATAACATTCAGTTCAAGTTAAAGGGACACTGTCAATGGATGACATGCGCAGTAACAGTCTCACCTCTAACRGACTTTGAAAGTATWACCTTCGARGTAAATCATTTTGTGGTGCTTTTGACACACTTTGGAATATTCTAGATCTGTTTACGTTTACGAGCTGATTTATGTCGCGCCAACTTGGAGTCATAAACTTGAAAACACTAGCSTAGTRTTTTCAARTTTACTCGCGCATGCGTGCCATTGACAGTGTCCCTTTAACTGAAGTGATTATCGCATTGAAGAGGATTCTTTGTGTTGGTTCCTCTCCTTGTCTAATGTTTTTTTCATTCTTTTCTTCGAGGAGTTTCGAGATGAAGAGAGTAGATAGAGAAGATGTACGATGTATAAGCAAGTAAAAAGCAATACTACTGCCATACTACTGTTAGAGAAACATTAGACGGAGCAGGAACAGCTACAACAACTACGACAAAATTGTGCGATGTATGTTGAAGCACCACACCCCTGGCCATCAATCTTACAAACAACAGCAGCTCCAATTGAAAACACAAAAGCTTATGTTTAGTGGGGAAAATAAAAGTAAGAAAATGAAAAAATGTAACAGAAGCATTACTGCATGATCAACAACAACAACAACAACAACAACAACAACAACAACAACAACAGAAAAATGGTACGAAGCAAAAATCAACAACACAAACAGCATCAGTACCAACAGAATGAAGATTGAGATCCGTTCATACTCGGAGAGTTCCTGGTCAAGAGTGAAATCATTATCAATTATGATCAACATCACCAACGAAACTGAACGGAAGAAAATAGAGCAAGACAATCGTCGACAATAAAACGTGTTCTTTTGCACGATAAGCAAATGTCAGCACCTGCATATATGCCATGACAACCTGTCTTCAGTAACACTAGCTTTTTTTTTTGTTCACTCATTAAGGTGGATTTACAAGGCGTACTTTCTTTGGGAGCGATTTCCCAAGGATGTTATAGGAACTTAAATTTTCACGAGGTAAAAATTTTTACGGTGTTGCTCAAAGATCGATTGTGTCAATAATCCATAGCGCAATGTGACTCAGAGCGAAGAAGAATTACCGTTCTGCACACAACAATCCGCGCGACTCGAAATTGAATCATTTCATTCGAAAACTGAGATCTATGTGTAAGAAATGGAAAGTGAAATCAGCCTGAACTTGACAACAGCCTTTAGAAAGGAATTTCTCATTCAAATCAGTGACCACAGATCAATTTACAAATTTATAATAGATGAAGTTCTAGCTGTCAAGGAGATGGAAAGAGATAAAGGTATAAAATATACAAAGGGCAAAACGGTCTTACCCGGATGGGCTCCCATCGAAATAGTTTCGGCCTCCCATCATCAATACAAGGCCCTGTGTCTTCTTCTCTTTGACAAACACCGTTGTCACAAGCTTTACCAAAGAYCGTTKCCTTACCATTCGCTKTCACCGAGCCAACAAGAAATTGCACAACAAAAATGAACACGGACAAGTGCATCGTGATGGCTTTAAAGTGGATTTTCCCAGTCTCGAAACATATCTAATTCTATAATCTAAACAAATCTAAGATTGGATCAAATGTTTGGTTTAATTTCAATGGTGTTTTGAATAATTTGACTTGTGCGCTTGCGCGATATACAGTCGAACAGGGAATGCATTAATCTTTAATGATTTTCAGAGTTAAATAAACTTGTTGGCTTTCAATTTCTTAACAACTAGTTCAGTAAAAAAAGACTCGGAGATGCAAATGAAATGCGATAGCTAAATATTTTGCCAAAAAACTTGAGCGCTATCGTCAATAAAATGTTTTTTAATATTTCTAGTTTTGCGTCTAAATGGCCTTGGCTRCTCAATGACCATTGCAACCAGAGGCTCGACTACTTTACGCTGGTTAGTTTTGAAAATGAAACTATATTCGTACATTTATTTAAAAAAACATGATAAAAGGCACGTAGAATAGCCATGAAAACGTGCGCGTTCAACATGGTGTGARCGAGAAATTCCAACACACGTGCTTACCAGACAAACCCTGTCACCAGTTTAATGTTTACCAGCCAATAAAAGATAGAAGTATTCTATCTACTTCACACTATAATAGTTTTACGGTGTGCACATAAAATCGTCTGCATCTAAARTTATCTTTATCTATATTTAATGATTTTTCAAGATAGCAGTCAGTAAAACACGTTAAGGTTATCAATTAGCAGATCAACGCATGATCAYTCAAAACCTCAACCGCGCGTAAAAAGACGTGCGTAAAAAAATCCGTACGTAAAAATCCGTTTAGTAAAATTCGTTTATTCTTTCATCACAAAAACTGAGATGATTTATTTATACATTTGTAGATTAATTTTTTCATTACATTTATTGAAAATATTAATCGCATTTATACTACAGCAATTTATCAAATTTAAATCATTATATGATAAAATGTGATAATCTTAATTGGTTTACAACTCTATCAATCAGTCTTCGATCTTACGGGATTCCTGTGTGGCGCGAAACGCATCTGTTTCAAGTCCCCTCACAGGGAGCCCGAAACTAAAAGATTATAATAGCGATACTCAATGTTTATCAAAAAACTCATTCTGGCTTTTCATAAGTCGCTTTGCTCTAACAGCCAATCGTCTTCTGGTTGGCACATTGAATAACAAAGGCTTAGATCACRTTGAGTATCGCTAAAGCCGASCTTSCACTGCTTAGCAGTGCTTAAGTACRCATCAATGAAAAGTTAAATACTGAAAATAAATCATCTCGCTTATTCTAAAGGATGCAGTTTTCTAAACAATTTAGTCATACAACTTTCATTAGTGGATTAAAAACAAGTACTACGCACTACTTATTCCCCTGCGTAAAAGGTTGAGGGAAACCTTTTAATATTATTWATATTTAACCTATCTATATCATACTTATTTTCACTTATTATTACCTACTTTACAGTAMGTTCTTTTAATATTTTTAAACTTTAAATATTTTTATTGTATGCTTACCAATCACTTGACTTTATGCGAYACGCAAACGTAACAAGTCACTGCGTTCACGTATTGGTTTAGTGCGYAATCAATAAAACCGTATGTTTACGTAATACGAACTTACGCTGCGTAAACCACTTCTTCTACTATTACTAATGTAGTTTGCGTATCGCATAAGAGTACATTACGTACATACTATACGTTTCAGTATCCCAAGCTAGTGTGGCGTACGTGGCTCATCGTCATAGACACTAATTTCATCGATATTGTCAGCATCAAATGCAGAAATCCAATTATTTGCCACCCACTTATCTCCCTTTCTGACACCACATCCTCCGTGTAACGTATAATCGTCTCTCTGTCCCAGGAGCCCAGTGTCCTCGTCCACAAAGTGGTTATACCATAATATGGCCTTACCTTTCTCGGCAGGAACGACTAATTTCGCTTTATTACAGTTGTGAACTAAGTTGAATGCATCCCCTGTAGACGTCTTGGAGAATGCCTGCCATAAAAATTCTGTCTTAATGTTTATGTAATGGGCTTGCGTAATGCCGGGATCGCGTGTCGCAATCACATGTCAATATGCTTGGAGGTATTGAGCCCACAAGAGAAGCAAGCTTAGAAATGTGAACTGAAGGAGGGATAGAACGAAATTAAAAGGAGGGATGGGTGGGTGAGTCTTATTGTAAATTTGGACGGAAAATCGAGGGTGGATTGATACTGATGTAGCAAGATGCGTGACAAGCACGCAAGAAAATAGCTAGGCAACGATAAAACAAAAAAACAAAAAACAAAAAAAAAGAACAAAGAGTTACCTGTTCGCTGTAAGTGGCATTGTCTGCAATAGGGAACGCAGTCTCACCGCCTTCTTCAACATCATTTAAGTAATATAGTACAGTRACATACCTAAATAAAACATGCATTAATGGAATTAATATGTAATATATACAATATGAGCGGGCGATCTGTATGTAATATACAACTCTCTTCATGGGCTATGATTTCTATTGTGTTTTGCCTTATGAATATTAATGAGTTTTATAACACAGAATGCAACATTCATGTGTTGCCACAATATAATGGAAAAAATAATATGGAATAGCTCATTTCCATGASTTGAAGCTGATCAATAATCAGTCAGGATCGCAACATGTCCAGTCGAGCTGATTAACACTGAAGCAAAGGAGGGAAACTCAAGCCACGCGTGATGCCACGCCTTGCTTCAAGGTTTTTCTCTATATCAAGACCTACCTGCAAAGTCTGCAGTGAGGAGGCTTAGCATTTGTTGTATGACAGCATTTGTAATCAGGATGCTCAGTAATTGACTGGCTATCATAGTGTCCATTGTAATGACCGTACTTGTCATAATGCACAACCTTGGGAAAAGAGCTATGATTTAGCAAAAAAATCAAAATGCGAATACATGTGTGTATACTATTGCATTGCATATAAGCAAGAAGACTCTTCCGCCTCATTTGCTAKAATCGTTTTACTCAGTCGTAGCCCATGTTGGCGTGCACAGTAAAAAAAGCTGCCTTGAATCAATAAAAGAACGTTGACGTCCGCCATTTTGTGACTTTTATCAATACCATGATGCATTTCGCCAAAATAAACATGACGTCATAAACTATTAAGATTTCTATCTTACCTGAAGAGGTTCTCCACCTCGGATGATTTCCGTGGGTAGTCTTGTAAGTCTTTGTATTCTTTAAATCATGATAGAAAAATTACAATAGGTTTTACAGAATAATAAAAAATATAAACCCTAAGTCTGATGCCAAAACTAGTAGATTAAGGTGAGATATCCTGATAGTAACTCCTGCTGTCGACACACATCGCACTTGACAGATTACCTTTTCCTTAGACCTTTGATTATTGGRTCAGCAGTTTTCCCCTGTAGTACCCAGGCCTGGTTACTGTATCTGTCCTTGTGCTTTGGGTGATGTTCTTTCAGTACATTCATGTAAGCATCTATCTTTGCTGTAGGAAATGTTTCGAACTCTTTCCTCGTTATTATACCTGTAAAAAACATAATGAAATGCAGTATCATTTGATGTTATTATATATATGTTATGAATTACGCTCCCCTAGGGCAAACCACCGAAATATAAAGATCGTAAGTTTACCCTTTTACAACAATGGTTCTCCCTCAGTCTAATCGAGGCCTTAGTGACATTGTGACAGTCATATTGAAAATTCAAATCAAAGCGAAAATAGTTTCATGCAATTAAACTGCTAAATACCGTCATCAAGTKCCTTGAGTTCCAGCCTTTTGATCCTTAAAACAAGGGCAAAAATATTAGTTTGACTTTAAGAAGACATCAAAGAACCATAGTTAGTTACTAACGTATGAAGGAAMAAAACAACACCGAAATGTTGCGAAATATTTTATCCAAAATACTTACATACGATCAATGTCTTCCATGGAGAAATACATAAACTTGTACAGTTCAGAATAATCGATTATCTGTATGTTATAAATAAACGATAAAAATTGATCATCTTTTTGCTTATGTATGCATATATATGCCTTAATAAAACACACGCGCGTCATATATAACTGACCTCTTCTTTAGTTATTTTGCCGTCAAAGTTTCGGTCCCAGTTGATAAAATTAGATGAAATACCAACGGCGTGTCCTAAAAAGGAATGGCARGTTAAAAATTGATAGTAATATGCGCAGAGTAAATGCTCCTTACCTTCTAAATCTTTCTTCTTTTCAAGCAAACGTTCATCAAAATGGGTTATRCTCATGTGAAGGCCCATTTTGACAGCCAGCGTTTGAATGTGTTCACACTCATCTGGACTCAAAAAATTACGAATTTCTGTATAAAAAAAGGCAAAATAAAACTCAATGCAACTGAATGGAGAYATAAATTGAAAGGAACGCTCAGTGTCAAATGGCGCGAATTTGGTGGACGCGCGCGCGGGCTTACATACAGAAAAGCGCGGGAAAATGAAAACAAAATGGCGTCACAACGACCCTATTGGGAACTTCTATTTAAAAAATTCTAACGTTGAGGACTTGAATTGAATAAAAAAGGCTAATTTGAACTTCAAAGTACCAGTAAGTGTACTCGGATGGAAAACACAAATTTTTAATGTTATTTTATGGGGTCCATTCACTGTGCATTTCCATTTATTCTCTCTGTTTAATTTTTTGTTTACTGAAGGTTCAAGGCGAAAATATTTTAAACAGCTTACCAAAAATCGGTGGTTTGCTGGCCATCGTCGTCATCGTATATTTTTTGCCAGGCTCCAGCTCAATTTCACGAGTATGTCCTTTCTGTTAATAAA